ACTAATACATTATCGTTCTAAAAGAATAAAAACTGCAGATTGCAGTCAACAAAAATAACCAAATGTCTGGCTTAGGATAAATAATGTTTGCTTGTAGTCAACCAAAAATATCAAATAATTGTTTGCTTGTAGATTGCAGTTAACAAAAAAAACCAAATCTATTGGGGATGTGCAGAACTACTATTCTGGCTTTGGTTGTTTGAAACACCAGTCCTTGTTTGAATTCTATATTGCCCTCTAATATGTTGAAGCCTTCTTGTTGTGATTGCTGGTTTTCCCTTCCATTTCAGTCCACTACTTGGTTTGAAACCAATGTCACCAGTTACATCAGCTGATCTTGTTATCATTGTTGGTCCAATGGACTATATTTTGGTACTTGGCGTGGATACTATTCTACTACTTGGCATGCCAGGCTACAGAGAAAGAATAACTAAATATGTTATCACAAATATACAAAACATATTGAATATCACAAAGAATATACACTTAAATTTAAAGTTTTGAAGCCATTTTCAGCTTGAAACACACCCATTCTCATCACTTTTGGCTTTTTAAATTGTTTTGTATTTTCCACACCCTTTTCCCTTCCTCTATTTAATGTAGAAGTAGAGGCATTAGGTATAGTAGATGCATTAGGTGCTGATGATGTACTAGGTGCAGAACATTCAAACCAATTGACTAGTGAATGATGAGCAACAGATGTTGCATTAGGTGCTGATGGAGTTGCATTCCAAGATCCTCCTCTCCCCTACCTCTACTAGTTGCAGCTGTTACATTCCTAGATCCTTATCTTCCCCTACCTCTACTGGCTGCAGTAGATGTTGCATTAAGTGAAGCAGATGTTGTATTGTTTGACCTGCCTCTTCCCCTTCCTATACTAGCTGCTACAATAGGTGTAGTTGATGTAGCAGCATCAGATGTTACAGTACTTGAAAGTTCAGCAGGAGTAGAGGCATTAGGTGCAGTAGATGTTGATTTTCTAGGTCTTCCTCTCCCTCTTTTTGCAGCAGGTTCAGCTTCTACATTTCTTGATTTCTACTAAACAATAAACAATAAGATATAGTATTTGAATATAAAAGAAACAGGATATAGTTATACTATATTACCTTTGGGCTGGCTCTAATTTTTCCTGAACCTGATGCTTCTACAGCAGTAGAAGCTACATTTGATGGTGCAGCAGCAGTTCCTGAACCTGATAGATCTGTAGCACTCTTATGACGCCCCCTCTTGTTGTGACTAACACCCTTGTAGATGCTACACCTAATGACAAGTTCAATTTTAGGCAACTTTTCAGATTTTTTGGTTTCAGTTACCTCTTTTCTCCTAAACCTTTTGGGCCTGCCAGGCATACTTTTCATCACTGGTGGTGCAATAGGAGGGTCAGTAGATGCAGGCCATATTTCCATACTATTGAGTGGTTGAAGTTAGAATATGTTATCAAATATGTCTCTTTCATGTAGCAGTTATCAACATAGTCAGTTGGTTCATACCCTTTATAGTATATTGCAGCTATGTCATGTGAACATGGTATCCCATTCAACATCCAAGCTCTACAACTATAAGTATTATTTCTTAGGCAAATAGTATGTTGATTTGTTCCCTTCCTAACCTGATATCCTGTATCTCCATTAAAAAAATTGTACGCCTCACTGACTTTTTAATATTTTTCTCTAAGACCTTTAATGCTATTGGAGAAATGTTGCAGGACTAAGTATTTGCAAATTCCCTTAACTTAGCTATTCTAGTCATCATCTTGACTCTTATTTATTCAAGCATGATAATAATGGTCTTGTGCCTTGCAACTAGGATCCATGCATTAAAACTTTCAGCCATATTATTATCTACTGCATCACACTTGACTTTCACATTAAAATACACCTTACACCAAGTTTCTTTGTTATAGTACAAAAGATCATCAACTATGTTCTTACCAAGCATACTGAGTGCTTTTAGGTTTTTCTTAAATTCAGCCTCATATGTACTTCTAGCACACTTCCAGAACAGTATCCTCCTCTGAATCCCTCTCCAATTCTTTGACCAATTTGCAAGGATGTGTCTGGCACACATCCTGTGCTCACAAGCTGGTATAATATCTTGAATTACTGCTAGAAGTCCCTACAGAAAAGGAAATTGGTTAGTAATCAAACATGAAAACATAAAAAAGAATATCAAAAAGTCTGGAATGATATACCTTTTTTTTTCATGTCTGTAATCAAGGTGAAACCCCTGCCATCTCCTAATCCCAAATCATATTTAAGCAAAGACACAAACCATGTCGAGGTATTTTTGTTCTCATATTTCACTACTGCCCAAACAAGTGGAAGCATTTGGTTGTTGGCATCCTTAGCTATAGCAACTAATAATTTCCCTCTACTAACTCCCTTCAAGAAACAACCATCTAAACATATGCATTTCCTGTACCCCATGAATGTATTCTTCAATGCACCAAAAAAGATGTAGAAACTTTGAATGTTGCCTTACCATATTCATCAACTTTACCAAGTTTCACCACACATGTACTCTCAGGGTTGGTCCTTAACAATTCATCCTTGTAATCAAGAATTCTTCCAAACTCAAGAATATGGTCACCCATAATTTCTATCAATACTTTGGCTTTTGCTCTCCTAGTTGTGGTCTTACCAACATGCACTTTAAATTTCTTCCTAATTAACTCTTATAACTTGAACACTCTTATGTTTGGTTGTTTAACTATTTTATCTTTAAACACTTTAGTCAGGTATTTAAAATTACACGGGTAATTTCTGGTGGCCCTATTATTGGATTATAAGTCCTAAGCATAAAATTATTACTTGAAGTGTCAAGGCTTGCATACAACAGCCATGAACAACTATCATTGCACTTCACCCTGACTCTTGTTGGCTCATTCACATACTTTTCCACCTGAACCCTCCTTTGAACAACACACTTGGTTACTGCATCTCTAAATTCATCCACATCTACAAAAATCATACCCAGCTGCCACTCAACTTTTTTAGTTGTGGGATCATAAACCACTTTCTTGGTAGAAGAAGATCTTCCTCTTGGTAGATTTACCCTAACTTCTTCCCCATCTTCACCCCAACATTCATCTTCATCTATTTCAAAGCTACAAGCATCAGAAATTGGGTAATATGGTTCATCACCCCCTATCCTACCTTTTTTACCTTTTCAGTTTCATCAAACCCCAAATCTGGTCCAGCTACACCACATGGAACATTATCATGTCAGCAGTAGCTCTTTCCTTTCTTTTTCTTCTCTAGAAAGACTTTCTCTCAGCCCTAAACTCTATGAACTCTTCATGCATATCACTCTCATAATCCTCTACACCATCACCAAAAAAATCACTCTCTTCATAACTTAAACTATTTTCAGTTGAATTATCAGATTCCTCCTCAGTTGAGGATGAATCTGGATCTGGATCAGCTTGAGGAGCTGCTGGATCAGTAGGTGTAGATGAAGTTGCTACTGCACCATTTAAAGACTCCTCACCAACCCCAATATTTTGACTAGAACTTGCTTTAATGGCCCCATCCCCTTTATTAAAAGCTAAACCAGATTCCTCTACACCCATGTGTTGGACATATACTTCCAAAATAGCTCTATTTTGCAAGAACTGTGCAATTCTTGAAATCTCCCTCACATTTTTATATTTTCTATAATGCCACAATTAGGTGGCCTAACACTAAATGTGCAACTGCTGCTATATCCCAATTCTTTAATATAGTCCATCAACTCAAAATAAGATATAGTATCCACATCAACATTCACATATTCAGTCATTACCCCACCCACATATCTTGGTTCCCCACTTTCAATCTCTAAGACCCCACTATGAAACAATCTCAAAATCACAAATATAAACACACTCATACATGAATGCAAATAAATAATAACAATAAATTCAGACAAATCCCCAACAACAAAATTATTGTGCCGAAAATGGGGCCGCACTAAAAACTATTTATTTACTTACAACCAAGAACACATCGGTGTAAACACGCAAAATCAAAACTTTAGTATTAAAATCGACATGCAAACCCCTCGGTTTCAAAATCAGAATCTCATAATTTTGTATAGTGATCGATTTTTTACAAAACCCTAAACTACCAAAAATATCAATTAAAGATGGTAAAGAACTAACCTTTAGTCTTGGATTGTGACGAACAAATAGCAATTGGTTCTGCGCTGACCTTGATTGTAATACCACAGTATCAAATTAAACCCTAGATTGTAATGCCCTACTGAAATTGAAGACGATAAACCATAGAAACAGAGATTACATACTTCTTTGCATTATATTATAGCCGATTTTGCAATAGAATAAAGAGAAAATTATGATTGGACTGATTTTATGGAAGGAATCGAAGAGGGGAGATTGAGAATTTGGTTTGGGCCGTATTTTTGGGAGAGTATGAAAATAAAGAATGAATGAGGGTCGGGTTAATTAATGAATGGGTTTAATTTAGTTTAAAATAAAAGGGATCTGATAAAATAAAAGGGAATTGGGTGGGATCCATTAGAGCGTGTATACACCGATAGTATTATAAATGGGGGTCGGGTTTAATTGAGCATATAATGTTAAATAAATTCTTGTAAAAATAAGTTCAGGGTAGTAATAGGACCCCCAAAAAAAAAAGATATAGTTGGTAATATGGTCATAGGGTGGGGAGGATTTTATGCATTATCCCTTAATTAATGCTAAAAGGTGAATTCCTTAATGTGTGAAAAAAACCAAAAAATCACTTAAAATGGACCAGAAAGGATAGCATTTTATGTTAAGATGTTTGATTGGATACGGAATGAAATTAAGAAGACTTTTGACATGTAAGTCAATTACATATAAAGTGTCAATATTATCCTTTTAAATGAATGATAATGGAAGTTAATCATACATGTCTTTTCATTTTCTAGCTTTGTATTTTTATCAAGTGAGTTACAACAATTAATATCGTCAAAAGTAAAATAAAAATACTAATTTAACTTCTTACCAATAAGAATACTAAGCTAACTAATGCAATTTCATATTACAAAATATACAAAAGTAACATCTTTTTAAGTCAAACACAAGATTACATACAAGAAAATACACACATATTTACATGGTACTGGTAAAGACTTATTCACACTTGATGTTTATACCAAACCAATAGATGTATGCCATGTCGGTTTACATAAACTTTTCTCTCTAAATCATCATCAATATATGCATATTTTCATCTTATTAAATTATTCAACCATAGTAAATTGATATAGTTTGGTGTAAACATCGGATGTTGGTAAGTTTTTTCCATGTTTACATACACCTGTCATTGAAGTTGCTATCAAGTGTATAATCGGATGCGACTAGTAATCCGTCGACGACAAATGGGACAATCTGACAATCTTGGACCACATTCTCTGCAAGTCTGCAGTCAATTGATTATAATCATTAAAACCATATAAATGCAAGGAGAGAAAGTGAGGAAAAAGAAATTCTTATTAGAAAAATGATCGTTTGGTTCAAAATCAGGATATACTAAAACCGGGATCATAACCTGGATAAGTTATCCCATCTTCTATATAGGATAATTTATGCCAAGATTTTGATATAAAATAACACCGGTTTTAGCTGGTACCTCCCATCAAACGCGAGACCTAATCTCTTGAACCAAACGACCCTAAGAGTGGAAAACAAAACTCACCATGTGTCCACAACCAAAAGCCAGGTCCTTAGAACCAGTTAGACAAACTGGGCAAACCTTCATTTTGAACAAAACAAAGCAGGAAATCAGTTATTCCCAAAGACCAAAGTTAATGTATATGAAAGCTATGGTTATCTATCACTCAATTGCCTCACCTAAGAAAATGTCATATTCAAAAAGGGAAGGACCAAAAGCAATATAGAAAATGAATCTGTGTTTCACATAATTTTTAAAGCAATCAATACTAAAAGCCTTACTTGGCTATGTTCATTTTGCGCGGATCCTGAAAGACTGCTTTGATCTTGAGTTGGGACTGCCATGGCGCGTTTGTAAGGAACTGGTGGTGGTCTTGGAACTACTTTCTTCGCCTTAGATGTTCTTTTCCTATACACAAAATTTCAAGAGAAGTAATAAGTACAACCAATGCAAATCTCATGTTAATTTCTCTTATCATCTTAATTGTAGTCAAACAATTATGAAAAGAGACTAGCATACACTTTTTCATTTTACTTAGTTATGAGGTGGCGTAACTGGTAAAGTTGTTGGCAAGTGTTCGAGTCGTGAAAACAGCCTCTTGTAGAAATACAGGGTAAGGCTGCTTACGATAGACCCTTGTGGTCCGGCCAGAGGCGGACCTAGAATTTGAAGGTCTGGAGTACACCTTTGGATTCAACCAAAATTTACTTTGTATTTAAGATGTCCACTACTAATATATCACTATTTTCTGAAGACATATACATGTATATATGGAATTTTTGCCAAACTTTACGGGTGCCGGTGACCACTCTGGTATAGAATAGGTCTGCCTCTGGATCCGGCCCTTCCCGGGACCCCGCGCGCGTAACGGAAGCTTAGTTCACCGGGCAGCCTTTTTTTTAGTTATGAGGTGGAGTTCTGTGGTTTAAGATCACATTTTTAGGACATAGACTAAGAAAAGGAAAGGCTAATTCATACCCTAGCAGACCAAGTTCTCGAGCTGCTTTATATTGGATAGGGATCTCCATAAGTGCAGCAAGAGCAAATGCAGATTCCTTTGCAGAATCAGTTGTATGTTTTGTCATGATACCGGTAAAATTCACAAACTGCACAAGGAAAAGGATTGTAAAAACTAATGTATGGTTCTATCACAGATTCCATCTGTAACTTAAAAAGTCTAATAGAATTATACCTGAAAATTATCAAATTCACGCGCAGGAATCCGGTCATCAAATTTTTGCATGTCTTCCCAAGGTCCATCACCAACTCCAACGAGAACAATAGAGAGAGGATACATGCTGAGAACAAATGCTTGTCAACTTTCTATGTATAAAATTCTTCAAATAAGAGCGAGAATATATTTTACTCAATACTAACTCATCTATCAGAATTTTGATTTTGCTACTATAATGTATGTTGAGGTCACTCATGAAGAGAAAGAGTAGAACAAAGTACTCGAGGAGGGCAGAGCATTTAGCATATGCACTGCCCTTATCTGCTTAGCTATTAGTTTAGAAGCCAATTAAAACAAGAAGAAACCTGATCACGAGTAATCGTATATAACCAAAATCGCCACAACCAATTCTCAAATTGAAAGAAAATTCACGATTAATGAAAATCCTCAAAGGCAAATGCTCATAAATTAAGGGAAGTGACCTTTTCTACTCTACAAAGAACCTGTTTCTGCACATCTTCAAGTTGCATTAACCTCTATGACCAATAAACAGCCATGGCCAGTTGAGTGAAATGGAGTGCCAGAGGTAAGATACAGATGAATGAAACTAGCAACAAGCTGAAGTTAGAAAGCGAGTCATCAGAAAGAAAAAAATGGATAATGTCGACTATACATTTGCCACCAATGCATATAGGATTGCCTCTTTGCCTAGATCAAATATATTACGTTGCTCTAGAACATACAAACAAGTATTTTCTTGCACCTCATGGCTTGTTGTTACTACTTCACAATATGCTGTTACATGGTGACCTTATATTCTATAAAGCTGAAGGTTTGGACAGACAAGGCAACCTGACTGATCTACATTGAGTGGTTTGTAAACGAAATGTAGTAAGACATAGGGTTCGATCACAAGAGAAAAATACACCTATGTCATTATACCTCGCGGTGACAATAGAACTAATTGTCTTCTCTTCTTGTGGGCTGAGTTCTGAATCATTGGTATTGACGCTCCTTGTAACCTACAGGACAAGACAAAGTGTCAGCAATTTGAAGGGAAAAGTAAAAGACTATCATTGAACAAGATTCTATATATATATATGTGTGTGTGTTTACATGCGGGTGAGTTTTGTTTGATTGAGGGAGGGGGGAGAGAGAGAAGCGCTCAGTAACCTGGCCATCAGCGATGATAACCAAGACATGGTATTGTCCACCCGTTCTCTCCACTATATCTACTGCAGCATCTACTACTGGCCCATAAGATGTCGGCCCTTGAACACATCAACACATAGTCAGGATAATCCCATGGAAAAAGAGGTTTCTTAGTAATTAGCATAAATTTACAAATTAAAACAGAAAATACCAGATAATTGCAGATTTGGAACTATTTTCCTGTAGCAAGCTAGGACTTCTTCAAAGCCATGGCAAGGAGAGTGATCGCTATGAAAGCTAAACACATCTTGATCATGCGTAGTCACTAGAACCCAAAATAAAAAATGAGTTCAATGGAAATATACAAATCCAACAGAAGATAAAAAGACGATGATAGTGAATGCTGAAACAATAGAGAAGCAATTCTGTGGAATGGAACCTACCATCACCAAACCCGAAACAAGGAATTAAATTGTCTTCATCAAATGGAGACAATGTCTTTCCAATGATAGATATGGCTTTCTCATATGGATTGAGCGAATCACCTATTGCATGCAAGCTCTTGTTGTTGAAAGAAACTTTACCTTCAGAAAGAAAACAGCTATTTTTATCTTCAATGTAAAAAAATTGAAAGACGTCTAACCACTAAAAAGTTGAAAACTTTACAGTTGAACCAGTGAACCAGCAAAAATACGATGAAAGCTTGAAAATGTCAAACATCATTGTATTTATACTAATGCATTAGGCTTGGCAGTTGGCACGAGCTGTTTAATTTCCATTGCCACAAGCATCAGGATAAGCTAAATTTTAATGGTCAAAATAAAAATCAAAGACTATCTTATACCGATGTCATGTCAAGCAGAATAAACTAATTAAACAGAACACTATCAAACTAAAAGAAGCATATTTAAGTGATAGAGAGGCCATATGTGAAAGGAAACAAAGTAGCTCTCATAGTAGTTTTTCAGAAATGTTTTAATTTTATCAAATGCTCCAACAAATTCTACGCCCAATTTGTAGGCCAATAGTCAGAACATCATATTCTGCGTCGACCTTAGGATTTATACTCAGAAATCGATAAAACTGACAAACTAATTCAACTGCTCCACCTACCAGTCCATTCATTACTTTTCGTGAAATCTATCCCAATAATTAAATTTGACGACTCCAATCCCGATTCTCTCAGTGCTATAGTGACCTGAAAGTGAAGTGGTGATTCAGATGTATGTAAAAAAAAAAGAGCTTCAAATTTCAATGACATGCAAACTCAGATTTTAGGGAAGACTATGGATCGTCTACATCTACTAATATGTTATTACGAATTTGTGCATATAACAAATGAACGTTAGTTTACAACGAGCAAGAAAATATTGCTTAATGGATACTTGTACAGGCCACAGTAAAGAGTTTGCCTGTATAATAGATAATTTGATGAAATGTTATTGTCCTTCCCCCTATTTGGTCTTTTTACACTTTCTGAATTTCGCACTATAGACAGAACTCCAATGTCATCCTCTTGAAAAACATTTATCAAAATGTAGCGATTTGACTCTTTGGGATATTCATTTTGTGTCATCAATTCATCTTACCCCTATCCCGAGACACATACACACACATTCAAAAAGAAGAAAAATAGTAGAGCATTCAGAATATCTCCTGTACAAGTGATTTTATGTATTCCTCAAACATAACTTTTCACTTTGACGAGTGATAAACTGAGAACCAGAGGCTTAATTTACCTACTTTAAACACATGGATGAATGAAAATCTACATTCTTGTATAACAAAACTGGGCCTTCTGCTTGATCAAATGTTCGTCCATAATGCGACAATTGTCCTCCTAAGTACTCTTTAGCCCTCAGTCATGTCCTCTTTCTAGTATGCAAATAAATTTTCTTAAGATGGACAGAGCTATCCCTAAAAGTCTTGTTTTCTTTCCTCAAGTAGATGGGTGTTTGTAATTTATTTCTATCTGGAGATAAGTACTATCTTCTACAAAGCAATTGAACTTTATGTAAACCAGGGGCGGCGCTAGGATTTGAACTTTAAGGGTTCTGGATTTTAGAAAGACTTCAAGCAATAATAACTGGGTTCTAAATGTAATATGAATACATATTTAACAAATTTCTTTACACAAATACACTGTGTTCGAGTAAAAGTTACTGGGTTCGGCTGAACACGTATTTGGGCTTCTACCTCCACCCCTGTATGTAACAGTCTCAGGATCCTCTTATGAACGTCCTCTATAACAGTTATCCTCTATTACAACACTTCATTCTAACGTCCAAATTTCTTTTATCACCAATTTTTCGTGCTATGTTAAGATATATGCTCACTACAAAAACACTTTGCTATAACGGCCAAAAAATATCCTGAACAAACAAGGTAGTTATAAAGAGGCTTAACTGCATAGTAAAAATGAAAAGAGTGAATACCCTAAAAACACTTTAAACTATCATGTTTTTGTCAGTTACATATTTAAACTATCCGGTGTCCCCAAAACCCCCTTTAGCTATATCTCCTATATATTAAAAAAACACTCATAGATTTTTTAATGAAATATGTAAGATAACTCGCCAAAAGGCGCGTGAGATGAAATTATACATAAAAATGGCTCCAATTGGCCATTTCTAATGGTTAATTATTGTTACCCTCTTTAACAAATTTAATTTTTGTATTTTCCCTCTATTTTCTTTGTATTCTAGCCTTCTTCTTCATTTTTTTATCTTTCTTCTTCCTTTATTCTTATGGTTCTTATGGGTTTCATATGAAAAAAATTTCTTTCTCTTGTTTCTTTTAAAATTATCTTTCTTCTTCATTTAGGTCTTCTTCTTTCAACCAAACCTTAATTTTTTTTATCCCAAATCTCGTATTGAACTATAATTTCCGGTTAAAATGAAGGTTATTGGGAAAAATTCAATGTTTAATCGAAGTTTAATGGTAAAAATCACGATTGAGACATGGTGTAGCCATTATCGGAGGAGATAGAAGAGATTTTATTTTTTACAAATGACCATGTGTTTATCCCTTCATCCTCTTCCTTTGATTTGTTAACTCCCAAACATTTACCCATTTAATTATTTTTTATTATTAGTTAAAGTTCTTAATTAAATTGTTATATCAGATTAGTCTGTGTATCGCATTCACCACTAAAAAATGGACGAGGGTTTTTTAATATATAGGTGTATATAGTTAAGAGGGGTTTTGGTAATAACGGATAGTTTAAGTAGATAACCGACTAAAACGTCATAGTTTAGGGGTTTTAAGGTATTTGCTCAAATGAAAAGGGAAGAACAAACCTGATCAAGGGATGAAAAATTATCAGGAATATAGTAGTACTTGCTCTTCTTCTTCTTATTCTGAGTCATTTGTTCCGTTTCCTTTTTGCTGTTAGTGGACGCCATCTTCCCATCGCTAGAACCCGAATCAGAAGAAGAACATTTCACCGGAATAGAACTATTATTATTATCATTTACAGAGGATTCAAAGGGGGAGAAAGAAGAAAGCAACCGATTTCTGCTCTTAGAAATCGAAGAAAAAGAAGTAGAAGTGTTGTTATTACTGGAATTCCTACTACTACTACTACTACTCTGCTTACGAAATGGAAAACTGAAAATATTACCCATTGACGTTGAAGTTTTGGAATTTTGCGGACCTTTTAATCTACATTATTGAGCAAGTCTTCTCGCGAAGACTTGACAAAAAAGAGAAGAGGAAAGAAAGAAAGGAATATGATTCTTTGGATATCGCAAATTGAAAGCCATTGGATTGGATTGGTAGAGCAAAAGCGAATGCTTTAAGTGCTTTGAGATATTGTCATCCCACAGACATTTTCCGCGAAACTACTGCTTGACATGAGAAATAAATGCTCTCTCCTCCTAGAGGTCCCATTGGATTTATATTGGAAAAAAAAAGAGGGAGGGAAATTGTTCGAATTTGTCCCTATACTCTTCGAAATTATTTAGCTAGGTTTCATATAGATTTGGTTCAAACTTGAAAAATAAGTTTTTGAAATTATGTTGAAAAATAATTTTTGAAAGTTAAAATTGTGTTTAGTCATGTATTTTATTTAAAAAATAAATTGAAGTTTTGTGAGTGTAGGAAAACATTTCACCTAAAGTACCATAAACCATTTTTTTAGGAACTTGAAAGGTTTTTCAATTTTTTGTTTCAAAAACTGATTATATTATATGAACAAACATTATTTTCAAATTTTTTTTTTCAAAACAAACCACCAAAATCTATGGCCAAAACGGATCCTAATTTTGTCCGTTAAAATTACATTGTCCAGCTAGTTGTGTGTGTGTGTGTATATATATATATATATATATATATATATATATATTGACTTTTTCATAAATTTATTTTTTAATATTTTAATCCTCATTAGTGGTAATTCTCGCTCTACCATTGATAAAACTCATGTATATCTTTCGTATTCTCTTCCATCGGAGCTGTTCAAATTCTTTAAGGAAAACTATTTAAACTTATCTTAAATATTTTATTATAATTTAATATTACTCTAAGGTTGGAGTGTCATTAAGGGTCAAAGGAAAAGAAAATGAGGCCTTTTCCTAATGTAAGGAATAATGTTAGATAAGAGTTAAATAGATTGAAAAATTGCTCAATTTTCGAATAATAATAGCAGGGGCGGAACTAAGCCTTTTTAATACGGGTTCGACTGAACCTGTAACTTTGATCAAATATTGTATGTCTTAAAAATCTATTAAATATGGATAAAATTGCAAAAAAATTACTAATTAAGTTAGAAGGGAAAATGACATTGTATAGTCGCTCTCAAAATAATAGCCAAAAAATATATATGTATGTATGTGTGTGTGTATATATATATATATATATATATATATATACATATATTCTATATGTTATATACAAAATTATATTTTATACAAAATTCTCTAGCGCGGACTAAAAATAAGGGTGGCAAATGGGTCCGGCCGGGCCCGCATGCTAAGTGGGCCAAGTGTGCTGGGACCGTTAGGATCACTAGAGGTGGGCTCGTGCCAGTCTCGTGGGTCGGTTCTTATCTAGGAACCGTTAAAACCGGGCCCGTTTGGCCTGCCAAGAGACCGGGACCAGACCGGTCCCTTGGCGGGCCAAACAGGCTCAATGGCTATTTTTTCTAGCCGTTTGGCTTTTGAAATAAAGAGCTGTTGGGAGTTTAAAAAATAGCCATTTAACCCACCTCCCCCCCCCCCTCC